GCTTCACTGAGTTACGCAAGCCCCTTCGCCACGACAAGGCAGTGATCCATGAAGGGGGGGAGGCAAGGAGTGGCTCATTAATATGTATTCTTTTAAAGGCTTTTAATCATTGGATGATTTTAATTTGTGGCCATCTTAATGTTTTATAAATGTTTACCCTGAATTTTGAAATCCATTTTGATTTCTGCTTACTTGGCCTTCGCTAGTGCACTTATCTATATATTCAAATTCTGAATTGTGCTGTCATATTAAAAAAATGCTTCATTCAGTTAAAAGCCCTGAAAGTTTTCATGTACGTATGTATCATTTATCATTCTGCCTCACATCATATCTGAGAGTAGAATCTGGAAATATTATTTATTTGATTGAGCTATACTTACTGCTAATGCAACCTTATTATACATCTAATCTAAGATTTGGCTTACATTAACAATTTTCACTTGTATGCACAACCACAGTTTCATTGTCCTGGACGTATACCATTAATCTGTTTCCTTTCATATCCTGCATGGGTTCACTGCCCTTCATTTGTACTATAATCAGATAAAGTTTGAATTAACTTGTAAAGAATGCATAAACACTTCCTTGCATTCTAGCAGTAGCCATATTCTATGTGTTGTATGTATGTATGTATGTATTAAACATGTTTCTATTCCACTATAATTAAAATGACTCTCAGTGGCTCACATAGAAAAAATACAATGTAAAACAACTCCCATACAAAAATAAAAGCATGAGAACACTGCTAGAATACAAAGGAAATAAAAAATGGCAAGATCAAATCAAATCAGAAGACTCTCCAAAACAGCTGTCTTTACAGACTTTCAAAAGATTAGTAAAGAGGGAGGCTGTTCCACAATTTCAAGGCTGCAACAGAAAAACAGTGTCTCCTTGCATTTGCCATCTGAAGCATCTAAAAGTATTGGACTTGCAGCAGAATCTCCCTGCTAGATCCAATCAGTCAGGCTGAAGCTGGCTGGAGAGGGAGGGAGGGAGGGAGGGAGGAATCTATAGAACATAGGAAAAGTAGTGTTCAGCCCCTCCCCCTCCTTGTCATATGATGATGCAGGTGAAAAACTTGTTCCTACACTTACAGCGCATGGAACCTTTTTGTACATGTAAATGCTTTTATGTGAGCTGGAAACCTTCAGTATCTGCCCGCATAGAAACAATTGCAGGCAAATGAGACTTTGTGATATTGACAGTTGCCTTATAAGCAAGAAGATTGTTGCTTTACTTGCATCATCAGCATGGCTAGGAGAGAGGAGGGGCTGCTCACCCCTCCTCCCCTGGTGGATTGAAGATGTCAACTGAACAGCATTAAAAGTACACAAGGATGCAGTTGGGCAATGATGGTTGAGAGCAAAACTATTAAAATTTAACAAAATTACAAGAATGCACAATACTTCATAGTTAGCTTCATTGAAAGAATGATGGGTTGTGAAGCCTAATATTATAGTTATTAAGTGACACAGTTTGAAAGTACAGGCAAATTCTTCCAAGAGTTATGATGTTATGCTGTTGCTGGTTTTATTCTTCCTTCCTGGAGTTTGTAAGAAATTGGAAATGGTTGTTGAACTTGTAAGTTTTCATTTAATGCCATTCTTAACTCTTTCAGAAGTTAAGTTTGTGATACAGCAGGGATTTGAAGGGTAATATTTACATAATCTGTCCAATTCAGTAATGGGCATCTAGTGAGTTAAAATTATGATGTGCTGTTTAAATAGAACAGCTTGCTGGCAGGAGATAAGATGACTTAAAAAACTGTCCAGTCTTGAAAAAGAAGCAATATAGTAGTAAAATAGTCCCATGGTATATACAATTGGCACAAATTCTAGTCTCATTTTCAATTAACACTTTAAAATGTTTATTATTTTTGTGTCCCTAAAAAGGCATTACAATTACATTTTAAATTGGCATGATGGCTTTTATTTAGATAGGTAAGAATATGTGGGTGTTGCACACATTATGCAAAGACCTAGCTCCCTACGGAAGCCTCTAATGCTGCGAAAGGTAGCTGGAAAAAGAGGACAACCAGCAGCAAGGTAGATGGACTCTGTTATGGTGGCCATGAGTGCACTGTTGGAAGACCTGAAAGACCAGGTTAGAGACACATCATCATGGAGAAAATCTATGTGGTCACTAAGAGTCGACACCAACTTGATGACTCATAATCAGTCAAAGAATATGTGAGTATGTGTGCATGTATGTGTGTATATGAACTCTAGTCTTTACTCATACATTTATATAGAAAATGATAAAACAATATACTTTCTGTACCAGAATCATTACAGTTCAATTGTTTCCAGCACTGTTTTTTACAATATCGCGCATACCCTGCCATCATAACTCTTGGAGAATTGTCTTGTACTTTCAAACGTTGTTGCTTTGTAGTTGTAATATTAGACTTCAAAATCCATTTGTCCTTTTAATGAAGCTCATCATAAACAATATGTATATACTGTGTGTGTGTGTGTGTGTGTAATATAAAGTATATATTTACAAGTATATATACATACTTGTAAACTTCCTAGAATTTGACCAGATTAAGACTGTGTATGATTTAAATAAATAAATAAATAAATACACAAAGAATTACACCATATCCCCCAGAAAAGATTCACTGTGGTATGTGGAATTATATTCCAAATGTTGTGACTTTGACTTGCTGAATTTATGTGTGAACCCACTTTAGTTTCTAGACTGTATCATGTGTATACCATTTACTGACAGAGAAATGAATATTTTTCTGATAACTTGGGTCAGAATTATTAAGACTAAATTTGCAGCTAGGTTAACTTAATTACTCTGAGTGGAACAAGCTGTGCAAAATTTGCTTTCAGTGTCTTTAGCCTGGATCCAGCCCTTTATCAGCTTTTATTCCTAGCCTAATGGCACTTATTTATCATGTGGCTCTTGGCAATAGTTTACCCATGTCCCCCCAAGGATTCACCTCCACATTTGTAAGCAAAGTAAAATTAAGCCTGCACAATTAACAAACTGCTTATACTAGATAATAAAAGTCTGAAAATGGAATCCCTTTTCCTCTGAGAAGTCACTGGGGGAGAACTAGTCAATGTCATGTAAACTGGACCATAATTGAAAACAGAGTTTTTAATTAAATCTGTCATTTTTAGCCTATTCCTGGGTATAGTCTCATCAGTGGACAAATAGCAGTGGTGTTCTCTGATGTTAAGCAGGCTAATCCTTGCTATAGTTAGAAGACATTTTCATGGAAAATAATGAACATGAATGATCATTTAAGAGGCAAGATTGTGCTCTGGGGGATTTACCCTACTGGCTAGTAGCAATAAAAGACTTCCATTGACGTTAGCAGGCTTTAAATCCCTACACTGATGCAAAAACACATAGCATTGTACCTATTTACTTTTCAAAGATATTGCCATACTTCAAGAAGGATCTGCCGTTTCTCAATTTGGGAGGAAATTAGTTGGATCATGAATGGGAGAGCTTGATAATTCATATTTTATTTTTGACTCAGGTGTAGGAACAGAACATAACATACTTTATTACAGCCAGTAACCAGTACAAAAAGAAAAATACAGCAAAATATCCATGTACATATAGATAATTTAGGTAAATTTAAGATAGCATAAAATTTTTAGACATAAAACCTGATGAGCTGATCTAGTTAACTAAATCCATAAAAAGCTATTCTTTATAAAACTGATCTAACTCTATTTGTTACTTTACAGTCTTTGGTTGGGTGTATGAAGGAATAAGTAAGAGGAAATAAAATGGAGGAAGTAAATAACTTTATAGTATACAATATTAAAGTGGGACAAAAGATAGAATTTTGCCTTGATAAGCCTGCTGTATGGCTTCAGAAAAATCTTACAACTTGTGCTACAATATTAGAGGCTTCAACAATGGGTAAAGATAAAGTTCTGTAGACTGCCCTTTCAACCTTTTAATACATGGAGTTATCTTTTAGTGTCTGATTTGCTCATAGAAAGGGCAGCTTAGAAGAATGTGAGCCATTGATTCTATTTCCCGCTTTCTGCACTGACAGAGTCTTCCTCTTCTTATATCTGTCCTCCAATACTACAGACGGAAAAATATTAATGTGTGGCCTTGAAAAGACATATCTACGATTGTAAAAAATTATGATTTTGTAAATAATTCGCCAGGGCACCATTACAGTAGTACCTTCTTAGGTGTAGGCAACCATACATGCTAGTATCTTCATGGATATCTTTCTTGCTACTGACCAGGCTTCTTACCACACTTTTAAAAAGTTATTTTCATTTTTAAAAATTAAACATGACCCTGGCATCTTGCAGAGCACTAGCCACTAGAATTTCATTTATTTGCAGCTATGCTTTGGATCCCACCTCCCACTTAGAAGATAGAGAATATCCTGGTTAGGCTAACCTGCACCGGTAAGTGGGTGTTTTATGACTGGCCAAGCCCACCATGGTAGTCACTTTTGGAATATACCCACCAACAAATTCTAAAAGAGCCCATGACCCAAAGGTTTGCCTACCCTGATATAGCCCTATATATAGTTTTTCTTTTTACATTGGAAATGGTTCCCTTTTTGCCATTCCACCCTGCTCTCACAATATTAGAATTTAAGAAGTATGGTAGGATTGCAAGCACAGAGGAGGAACTACATCTGAGAGAGATTTCTCCTTGTGAACCCCTTCTCCCAGGTGATTTATGGATTCCTAAATGGTCAAAACAGGAGGGAGGAGATGAAGCTGCAGTGGAACAGCAGTACCATCACTCTTGTTATATAGAGCCGTATAAATTTGTATAACAGATTTATACATTTGTACAGTTTATCTTTTTTCTGAGAATTGTAGAGATTTTGTGCTACCATAGTACATTAGGAATGGGGGATGCACTGCCATGGGGAGGGAGGAACTGTAAAAAAAGATTTTATGTACCATCTTGCAGCACATAGAAACATTGTAGATAGTGGATAGTGGATGCTGGGGCTGTTCCATGACACAAAACCTGACTCATTGGGGAAATATTGTATTTGATAGAAAAATTATTTCTGTTTGGCATTGAAAGACGGGTAACCAATTTATGAAGCTTCGATCCTGTATAAAGCATTTTTAAGATTGCCACTTAACTTTTTGAACAGAAAGACTGGTACCAAACTCAAACTTGAAGAACATTGATTATATCATGTTGTCAGAAGCATATGTGAATAAATTATGCAGTTCAGATTAGATCTTTCTTCAGTTAAGTCTGTATCTCTTTGATTCTGTACAATTTGTTCCATATTTGAAAATGAACTAGGAAAGGACCTTTGTTTTCCATCTAAAACCTTATGGAACTGTCATAGCTATAAATATAAATATGGTTAATTTCCTGCTCTAAAAAGAAAAGGAGTATGCATTGTAGATGTGGTAGGCTTGTGTCACCATTTCACTCTTCTTAACTTGGTCTGTATCCTGTAGTCACTGTACTATATAGATATCCCACTTCTGCCACTTTCCCTGCCAATGTTCTTTATAACTAAGAAAATGTGGAATGCCATGTTATCAGGTTACTTGGCAAGTTATAGGAAAGAGAAAAACCTTAATTCTGCATTTTCATAATGTAGTCCAAATATGAGGTATAAACACAGTGCTAGTGAAAAATAATATTTTAAAAATCCATTTAGCAAGTGTTTGAATTATTTGTAATAAATTATAGTATAATTTGTAAAAAATTATTGTATAATTTTTTAGACTTGGATAAAAAGAATTTCATTTGTATTAGAATGTTCTTGCAAAACAGCAGGATATTATAGAGATGAGAAGAGGGAGAGAGGTGTTGGAAAACAGGCAGAAATTATCAATAAACAAGAGAAAGTGGCTACTGCTACTTTTGCTAGTGGCACTTTGAGTGCAGGTAGTTCTCGGGTTAGGGGGACGCGATGGTGCAGCGGCTTAATGATGCTGAAAGTTGCCGGCCAGAAGTGGTCAACACTTCGGCGGTTCGAGCCCAGTTTTCGTGCAGCAGAGTGAGCTCCTGCTTCCTCCCCAGCTCCTGTCAACCCAGCAGCTTGAAAACTTACATGAGTAGACAAATGGGTACTCTCACCCTGGTGGGAGGAAAAATGCTGGTGGCGCTTGCCCAGGAGACAGGAGCAGTTGCCAGTAACATGGAAGCCACGCACGCCCGAAAAAGGCATGAAACAACGGAAACCCTGCCTCCTGCGCTCGCCAGCTGGGCTCTGCTCTAGGAAGGAGGCACTGGCAA